ATCAACTTAATAATTTTGGAGTGGCATTTTGCAGAACTGTGAAAGATATATGTATTTGTATTGTCTACCTGTAGCACTAAAAGTTTGTTCAAATTTATATGCATTGACATGAGTTTGTTTTGCAAGAATTTAAAGGACCATATAGTCATGATGCTCTTACAAAATTAAAGCTTAAGCTTCTATCTATTATGTACTTTTTTGATATATGAAGAATAAAACATCACTACTAAACTGCAGGATTTCATCATCTTGATTCTTGAGGATTTTTTTTTGTTTCCACAAAAATGAAAGACTCTCTCTCTCTATACGATGCACAATTAAGTGAAGATCTTCCCTAAACTGATGGCCACTTCAGCTATCTTCAGACATGCTCATAACTCTTTTTCCCCTCTCATCTGATCTAATACTGTTGCTTTTAGCTTCAAAGGTCAAAGAGATCTAAGTAAATCTAAATAAAAGAATGCGTATTTTCACCGTTTGAGATAAAAAAATAAAATTTGAATGCAAAGAGATGATTTAAGAACTACAAAGGGAAGCCAAGTAAAGAAATAATGACAACAAGCTTCTTGTCAGATATGAAGAACTGAAAAATCATGTCTGACGTGACCAAAGATTTTTGACTTGTAACTAAGACATACAGCTCATACACAAAAACCCTAATCACAACCACACCCTCTTTTTCTCTTATGTTCTAGAGAAGGGTGAAATGGTCAACAAGATGGAAAAAGAAATCCGGATACCCCTCGGTCAATGACACTTGTATTACTAAAACTTAAAAGCAGACTGGAAAAGTAAAACTTGTGATCAGATTTGACCCAGTATTCATGTGATTTAAAACCCTAATCTTGAATTTGGCAGGTCTATTCTTTGTTAATGTGTCATGAAGATAAGAAACAATAAAGGGGCTCTATAGATCCAGACCCAATTAACCTAGAAATCCTTGAGTAGCTTCTGTCATAGAGATTGAAGTGAGATTTGTGACAAAGTGTTGAAGAAAAACAGACATGAGTTATGAAACCCTAGAATGCAATTTGAGAGATCCTTCAATTACCCCACGGTTAATCAACTAGTTAACACCATCCAATCAGGGTAAAATGGTAAGCGGAGAAGCCAGAGAGCCTAGAGTGTGAGAGAGAGAGAGACTACTTGTTTAACTTTGACAGTTTGATTGAATGTAAGATTTGCGATAAGTGTATGAGACAACAATCTGAGTCTTGAAAGTCTAGCTATGATCCAGTTGAAGGGCTCGTTTCTTCGTGCACTCTTGTTGAAATGACTTGCTATTAAGGAAGCGTCGAAGAACAAGTTAATGGACTAATTAGAGGCTGACACAACTTCGTTCGTTTCAGACTTTTGTTTAAGCTGATAGGTGAGGATGGAAAGAGAGAAGATTAACATAAAGTCACGAAGGAAAGGGAAAAGATAAAGAAGCTGATTTCACACACCTGTTATAGCTTGACAACCCTCGTTCCTGCTCTTAAAGCATAATACTATACATCACTTCTAGTTAATAATATCTATTACAGCAGATCCGCATCTCCTTATCAAAGAACTGAGAAGAAGCACAAGGAAGAAACAGAAATACCTCCAAATCTCACGAAGGAAAACCAATAAAATGAAGAAATAAAAAAAGATCAATGAATCTTAGGTAGGGAGAACTCATCAGTCTTAACAAAAGTTAGTTTATTAACCTGAAGTGCAACGATGACAATCTTTGAAAGATGAAAGGCTTAGATGTTAAAATCATTGCAATACTTATCATGAACAATATGATTATTGATTATAGCACTTGGATATTAAAATATTTGTTTGCGTTTCGAACTCCCTTTTAGTGCTCATTTAGGAATTTCATCAAACACATAACATAAACTCACACAAGCACCTTGCGAAATCTCATTTGAATGAATAAAATAGAAGCAAATAATTAACATACAAAGTAAAAATGAACAAGTAACCAGAGAAGAGACATCTTATAAGGTTAACCAAAAATCACTACACCCTTCAAGAAGACTACCAAAAGTAGTAAGTAATTACTCGAGAGAAGGGAATAATATACCTTAATTCCTTAGCTTTCAAAACTTGTACAGATCTTCATATATTTTACCTTGTAATCACTTTTCTATTAGGCTTTTTATCTTTTTGTTCACATACACTTACATTTCTCTCTTCACTCTTGATCAGTTAAGCAAATAAAACATAAACCTTCTGATGGAGAATTACTTTAGATATATGATTAAATAAATATGAATTTTATTTATTAAGAAACTACTAATAAATCCTTAAAATATTCATGTTGATAATTCCAAATTTCTAGCAATATAATAAATACAGAAATAGTTTTGACCAAGGAAAAAAGATTATAAGGGGTGAGTGGGAACAAACAAGCTTCTAGCCTTTCCTTTCACAATTAAAAGCACAGTGAAGCTGTTACCTTAATTTCGTCGAGCCACTGAAGAATTGTTTCTGCCACGTTGGCAGAAGATCTCACAATATGATTGGCTCGACTGTCTTTGCTTCTGTATACTTGACACGTTTCACTTAGTGGTTACACACAGGGCTGTAACCTAAACTGACTCCCTTAAAACCCATCGAGACCTTTTCAAAACCCCAAAAAAGAAGAAATGCTTTAAATAGCTTCTGTTTCATGGTATTAAAATACTATTATTATATTGAAATAAAAAATGAAAAAGTATTTGTCTCGTTGTGTGTCTAAATCTACTGGACAGACTTGTGGTATCATCAAGGAAGACTGTTGAAGCAGCCATTGATGCACCATTCAGTAAAGTGCAGAAAACCCCATTGGCTCGTACCATTTGTTTTATTTTTCTTCTGTCACCTCAACTTTTCTTCTCTCTTTCTATCAAACAATGCCAGCAAGGCATGAATTCTTGACTTTTGAATTTTGATATAAAACATTATAAATTTATAATTATAGTTATAACTCTAAAATTGGTATTTATTTGTGTGCGCAAGTGTAGTGAATTAGCTATAGACACTAAGTAAGGGTGAAACGTATAATCAACTTAATAATTTTGGAGTGGCATTTTGCAGAACTGTGAAAGATATATGTATTTGTATTGTCTACCTGTAGCACTAAAAGTTTGTTCAAATTTATATGCATTGACATGAGTTTGTTTTGCAAGAATTTAAAGGACCATATAGTCATGATGCTCTTACAAAATTAAAGCTTAAGCTTCTATCTATTATGTACTTTTTTGATATATGAAGAATAAAACATCACTACTAAACTGCAGGATTTCATCATCTTGATTCTTGAGGATTTTTTTTTGTTTCCACAAAAATGAAAGACTCTCTCTCTCTATACGATGCACAATTAAGTGAAGATCTTCCCTAAACTGATGGCCACTTCAGCTATCTTCAGACATGCTCATAACTCTTTTTCCCCTCTCATCTGATCTAATACTGTTGCTTTTAGCTTCAAAGGTCAAAGAGATCTAAGTAAATCTAAATAAAAGAATGCGTATTTTCACCGTTTGAGATAAAAAAATAAAATTTGAATGCAAAGAGATGATTTAAGAACTACAAAGGGAAGCCAAGTAAAGAAATAATGACAACAAGCTTCTTGTCAGATATGAAGAACTGAAAAATCATGTCTGACGTGACCAAAGATTTTTGACTTGTAACTAAGACATACAGCTCATACACAAAAACCCTAATCACAACCACACCCTCTTTTTCTCTTATGTTCTAGAGAAGGGTGAAATGGTCAACAAGATGGAAAAAGAAATCCGGATACCCCTCGGTCAATGACACTTGTATTACTAAAACTTAAAAGCAGACTGGAAAAGTAAAACTTGTGATCAGATTTGACCCAGTATTCATGTGATTTAAAACCCTAATCTTGAATTTGGCAGGTCTATTCTTTGTTAATGTGTCATGAAGATAAGAAACAATAAAGGGGCTCTATAGATCCAGACCCAATTAACCTAGAAATCCTTGAGTAGCTTCTGTCATAGAGATTGAAGTGAGATTTGTGACAAAGTGTTGAAGAAAAACAGACATGAGTTATGAAACCCTAGAATGCAATTTGAGAGATCCTTCAATTACCCCACGGTTAATCAACTAGTTAACACCATCCAATCAGGGTAAAATGGTAAGCGGAGAAGCCAGAGAGCCTAGAGTGTGAGAGAGAGAGAGACTACTTGTTTAACTTTGACAGTTTGATTGAATGTAAGATTTGCGATAAGTGTATGAGACAACAATCTGAGTCTTGAAAGTCTAGCTATGATCCAGTTGAAGGGCTCGTTTCTTCGTGCACTCTTGTTGAAATGACTTGCTATTAAGGAAGCGTCGAAGAACAAGTTAATGGACTAATTAGAGGCTGACACAACTTCGTTCGTTTCAGACTTTTGTTTAAGCTGATAGGTGAGGATGGAAAGAGAGAAGATTAACATAAAGTCACGAAGGAAAGGGAAAAGATAAAGAAGCTGATTTCACACACCTGTTATAGCTTGACAACCCTCGTTCCTGCTCTTAAAGCATAATACTATACATCACTTCTAGTTAATAATATCTATTACAGCAGATCCGCATCTCCTTATCAAAGAACTGAGAAGAAGCACAAGGAAGAAACAGAAATACCTCCAAATCTCACGAAGGAAAACCAATAAAATGAAGAAATAAAAAAAGATCAATGAATCTTAGGTAGGGAGAACTCATCAGTCTTAACAAAAGTTAGTTTATTAACCTGAAGTGCAATGAACATGTTTATATCCATAAAATCCATCAAAAACCATTATCAGAAGAAGTGGGAACCATCATCGACATTCCCAACACAAAAATTAGGGGAAAAAATTAATGGAAAAAGAACTCAAAAAATTCAAGACAAAAAGATGTAACTTTACTATATATAGACCCCAGAAAATCATAACCTTAACGGCATAGAAGGATCATAATCCTAAGCAATCTTTAACAGAAGCATGAGAATCAATCACCAACACATCTAACTCAACCAAAAAGATGTGTAAGAAGCACTAAACCTGTTGTTAGCATATTCATAGAGGCGGCCACGGCTTGAGAAGACAACCAAAGCCACTTCAGCGTCACACAACACAGACAATTCATAGGCTTTCTTGAGCAATCCATTGCGACGCTTACAGAAGGTAACTTGTCTGTTAGTGGTGTTCTCGATCCGCTTAATCTCAATTTTGCCTCTTCCCATTTTCTTATGAGAAGAGCTTTCTGGTTCTTGGTTAGGAAACTCCATGGTGATGTCTGAAAAAAAAAAAAAAAGAAAAAAAAAAGAAGGTAAATGCCAAAAAAAATTGATGGTTTCGTCAGCAAATAAAGATATCTAACTTGGTGGTTCGTCATAATCAAGATTCAAGGCTACATAAAATCATACTAATGAAGCATCTACATATAATATTGATTTGTGCAGTCTAACCTGCTGAAGATTTAAACAAAAGAGGAACAAAGATTCTTGAAATCAAACTCTTTCCTTTTGAATGTATTTGAGCTGCAACAGTAGGAGTTGCAGAAAATGGAACCCAAGAGGTATATATATATATAGATAGAAAATAGACCCCTCAACCATAAAATAGCGCATTATCATTGAATTTGTATAGACTTTATTAATGACTATATTTTACTGTCTTCACAATCTGTATCGTATGAGTAAAAAGAAAAATATTAAATTGTGAAGAGGGAGTCTATTGTTAATTTTGAGGCTCCATTTAGTTGATGAATTGGAAAGAAGAGAAGGATGATAAGAAAAGGTTCTTGGGAAAGTGACTACTGATGGTTTGGAATGAGACGTTGTGAAAGCTATATGCCTATATATGTGCAGTGAGCTTTAAAATTAAATAAAAACAAAATAAATAAGAGGACCTCCGATGTTGTTTTTGCTTTTGGGATTTTTAGTTGGACCCTCCATTCCTCTGCCTCAAAGTTTGATTTTCATTAATCCTCTCTCTCTCTCTTACATTATTTTAGAATTTGTATTTCTTTCGGTAGCTATATATACATATTTCCCTTTCCCAAGTACAAAGTGAAAATAGACTCCCATGCGATGTACTGTTCACTTTATATTCTCTACTTCTTTTATGGTAAGGATAGTGTAGTATGGTAACATTTACTTTGGAACTTATATCACTCCTTCCATACCCAATTTGGTATTCCTTCTTTTTTTTTTATTTCTCACCTATATACCAAGTACCAACCAGATCAATGTGTACTGATTTTATTTTTATTTTGTTTACTTAAGTTTTTTACACTTCTTGTCAAGGTTTTGAAACCCAACCTAGAGTGTCACCCCGACCAACGGGTCAGGTCTCGAGTTGACCGGTTGGACTGGTTAAACCAGTGGTTCAGCTGGTGATCCAAAAAGTTTGAAATCTTGCAAACACCTCCATAAAAATTAAATAAGTCTCTATAGGTTTGAAATCTAGTAAACACACCCCTAAGCCAGTTAGGGCTTTGATTTTTTTCGAACAAATTCTGGCTAATTTTGGTGAAAAAAATTCAATCCAATATCATCACTTGAATCACCGTCCTTCACTCTACAAAACCTTTCTAACCTCGGCACTTGGTATCCCCCCATTTGCTAGTCGTGACTCGCGTATACTGCCACGATTTGGTTGATTTTTTTGACCAAATTTCGATTGATTCCAGCGTCCAAAATTCACTTTGACACCACCCCTTGAACCATTGGCCTCCACTCTACAAAAGCCCTTTAACCCCAACACTTGGTAGCCTCTTGTTCACTAGCGATCAGGTTAGAGATTTCGAGAATAGTTGAATTTTGTAACCTGATTTGGTGAAGCCCCTGGGTCTTGGTTGAACTGGTCGGGCTAGGCCAGTTTTAAAACCTTGCTTCTTGTAAAACATTCATCTTTGTCAATCTAATAGTGTTGAGAAATGTTGAGTCGGCTTTAAGATGTAACTATTATTATCTTTTATCTATCATCGGTGGATTAACAAAAATAAACGGTGTTTAAAATTAAATTAAAACTTGAAGTCACAGTATCCAAACCCTAATTTAGTATATGGCATTTTAAATTGCAAACATTTTACTTAGTGGGATCAATGTCTCCATCTACCAAAATAAAAAGGAAAATCTTGTTCGGAATATGAAATGTGGCAATGGAATATTTTAGTTTTACAGCCTTAGAGTTAGATATAGATACTTGTTACCATCCATATGGACTTGTTACCATCCATATGGACCACTCTTTTTATTAGTCCCCCAGGACCAATAATATTGGGTTGCAGCATAGCCAAACTCTGTTTTAGCATCAACTTAGCCCTTGGGTTCGTAAATTACCTTAAATACGCATGAGATATCAATTACGAATCATTTCTTGATCCGCAGAAAACTTTGTGATACTGATGTTTACACCTACCCATGCTGTGATTCTCTGAAAAAAATATATAGAAATTGCAACCAAATAGAATTAACCCGATGCTAATGATAAAATAATTTAGATTAATTAAAAGGTGAGAAGCATTATACGTATTGGAAACCCAACTTAAATTAACTTAGTTTGTGCTTTCTTATATAGGGAAAGGCTCTTTCATTTCAAACTCTCAAGAGTACAACGATTTTCTATTCGTATAATTACCAATTTATTATGTGAAATCAACTCATTTCAATCGATTTTTTGTATTGATTCTAATTTGCCTTTAGTCTCACTTACTACATAGGCTCTACATTTCATTAAACAGCTTATTCTCTTGTCTTTAATATTGATGATAGAACATTACTTTAACACTCTTATTCTTGCATTCCAATATCCCCCCTGCCTTTTTCCAGTACTAATTTTGAATGATCTTCTAGAAAAAAAAAGGGTTTAATTACAGTAATTATGGTCTTTTTCATAAATTATGATCAGAATGACCTCCGTCAACATATATTTGATGAGGTATTCATGTAGATTCAATATTATGTAAATAATGATTGTTGTTATGTGGATGATTACCAAATCACTTAGAAATAGAAATTTGGAGTATAGTCTTACTCTATCATCAAAATTAAGCAAAAGTGTTTAATTAAACTCCTCCCTTAACTGTGAATTAATGTGTATATTAATTTAATTCATTAAGATTCTTAATTTCTTTGTAGGTGTTATTGGGGGAGGGTCTCCTCTCATGTTCTTCTTCTGACTTTTAGATATTTTAATATGGAGAACAATTAAAATGAGTAAACCATTTTGCTAATTTGATAATGGGATCAATCACTAACCGTACCATTTCCTTTCTCTAATATACAAAATAAAAACTATTTCAATACTTGTCCTTCCTTTCCAAGAAACTTTTCATTTCTTAATTAAACTATACTTATAAAGAAACCTCCTAAACAACTCCCTACACTTAACAATCAACTCAAACTAAGGCTTTGTACCTTCAATTTTTTGTTTTTGTTATCTGTGAACTCATGGGAATATACAAGTCTACCATTAATTCAAAGTCGTATAGCAAATTTAAATTATACGAGTGTTCTCTTGTCGGTTTATTTGGATATATAGTATGTAGGCACGAACATATGAGGGAGTATCTGAACCCAGAAAATAATACTACAGTAGTTAAAATTAATAATGTACTAATTAAATCTTCCTCTCGCATCATTCTCAATGTCCCCACACTGATACTACAACTCTCAGTTCGATTATTGCTTAAGTAGAGAGCTGTAGGCCAAAATATCCGTTAACACTACTTGTTTTGCTTTTAATTAAGAATGTAATTGAAATGAAGGAAGTCTTAAAAATAAATGTATAACTGAGGTAGGGTTATGGATAACGCGGTTTGAGTGGAGAGCCACCAGACAACATCAACATGCTTGTCTCATCTCTAATCAAATTAGTGTATAATGTAAATGAGCTCCATTCTCATAGAGTGACTACACTATACAACGGTCTTTTTCTGGTCGTCTAAACTTATTTACTGTCCATTAAAGCTTCAGCTCAGAGTCCCATTCTCATTCTTTAAACTCACACTCACTGTGCCCAAACTTTCCCTTTTCGTCCCTAAAGGAAAATTCTTGTTTCTTCAAGTAATTGATTGAGGACCAAAATGCTGTCGGATATATATATATATATATTAGAAATTAATTAATGATGGGGCTGAGCTGATGATTACTCTATTTAAGTCCCCATCAACCAACAATGTCTTATCTCATGTATTAATATAAAACGCTAATTAGTCAAATGTACCATGAGAATTAGTTGCGTCAAAAATGGCCAAGAACATATAAATTACACATTCAGTGGTTTTCTTTAGAGGTAAAAAACATTAAGCATGGTAATGGATTGCAATGTCAACTTTTTGGTAGTGATAAGACAACTCGTGCCAATAGGACAGAGGAAAAGAAGTTTGTTCCCCGGATTTATGCTAAAATCACATTTTAACTATTTCTTTTTTCTTTTTCTTTTTTTATCTCCTTACTCAAAACTAAAATACACATGAATACGATTAATTTTGAATTATTAAAACTTCCTTAATTTATAGCATAAATCTCCTCTTCTGATTATCGTATATTTAGTAATTACAGCAGAATTAATGTATCAAAGTGGCCAATATTAAAATATAAATATACTATGTATAAGATTTCTTATAAATATTTGTATACAAAGTGATATAGTAAAAAGAATAGAAGAGTGAATATAATAATTTGATTTTTGTATTCACTCTTTTGTTAATTTTCTGTCACATCACTTTATATATAAATTTTTGTAAGATTTTTTTTTGTACACGATATTTATTGTAAAATATATATTAAATTTAAAAGTAAAGAGCGTATAAAATTAATCATACGCAGAATAGTAAGGAAGGAGTTAGATGTGATCTACTTCGAGACAAGCAAAAATAAAGTTGTAAAACAATAAGAAGGTAAAAAAAAGGTGAAAAAGGGAATGATTTGCCGAAATAGGATCAAGTGTGATGGCAACAAAGTTGAAAAAAGTAACATTATGAAGAAGAGAAAGGGAAAACATCATTATCCCAAATCTCTATGTAGATATGCAAGTTGTGGTGAAAAACAAAAGCAGGAATTAGCATATATATATATATATATACGATCTGGCGTTTCTAGGTGGAGTGGAAAGTAAATTCATATAATGAAGAAAATGAGAATTTTAAACATTCATTTTCAAGTATAGTACGAGAAATTAATAAGGAGAGAAGGGAAGGGACCACAGCTAGGTGCAAGCTGCAAGAAGATGCTTAAAAATGGATGATGAATGGAGGGTATGGAAAGATGCCAATATTTAATGCATTACCTAATACCATAAATGCCAACATAAAATGTCACCATCCAATCCACCCACATAACAAAATTAATTTCATTGTTTTGTGTTAAAAATTAATCTAAATCCAACTCGAATCAGGCAAATTTAAGGCTAGATTAACAAATGACTATAGAGAATATTTATATTTGTACAATTTCACAATGGTTTCTTTCATTATTTTAGTTATGATGTGATTTTTAATTATTTTTTTAAATTTGCATATATCATTATTACGC